CTTTAAGATTTTGGCGTTTCTCAAAATTTTAAAACTAGTAAAGTTTGTAGTAATTTTTACAAAATTGTATACATTTTCATGAAATACTACTTGCAATAATTTTTTTATTTGAGAACATTGTAATTTATGGTACTATTTCGTAGATATTTTTACAAAATATTAATGTTTCAACGAAGATATACAAATTTCTATTTCAAGTCCATTTTTTGTAGTTATTTATAGCATTTTTCTCCCGCTAGGGTATGCATGGTACGGCATGTTCGGAAGGGTGGTCCGACGGTTATTGTCAGAAAGGTCGTCCGACGTTTTACAAAAAGTTTTCAGAATATTCGTACACTGTCAAAAAAGTTTTTCGATCTAAGTAAATAGAGTTACTTAAATTATTTTTTACTAAAGTAAATAATTATTCTATTTAAATAAAAATAACAAATTTCAAGTAAATCTGTGTATTATATTAAGTAAATTCTACATTCAACTAAAGATTTCATTAGATAGAGAAAAATTATTTATTAAATAAAATCATTGTTTTTTGTCAAATAAGAAATCCAATTTTCTTCGCTGCAAAACTTATATCTTAGTAAACATTTTATAGAATTAAAGTAAAATTTTTTATATTTAAAATTATCTACTGTTCGATATTTAAGAAATACTTAAATTAAAGAAATGCATGTTTTAATTTGTTTACTATGTTTTAAATTTAAGTTAATAAGCTATTAGGAGCCACTTAATAAATAATTTTCTTGAGTGATCGAAGTAATATTTTTTTTGATTAAGGTATTTTTTTATCAGTGTATGTATCATTGCATAAATATTCGTAAACATTTTATTTATTTGGTCTAATGATGCGTTATTATAAAACGTCGAACGACCTCTTTGACTACGATTGTATAGTATATAAGACCTATATAAGACCGAGTTCCGGGTCTTTCACTTAATTCCATCGACCGTTCCGTTTTCGGCATCGTAATACAATACGTATAGATAGCTTTTTGCTGTAATATTTCAAGGGATGGACATTGGCTCCTCTTTGAAGTTCTGTCTAGACTTGAAGTCTAGCCTGTATTCTTTTGCGAATGCCCCCTTTAAGACCTAGGTCTTCACACATATTTCCTGCTTTGAAACTGACGCTGCTTCATTCAGTTTAGTCGAGCGGCCTTTCTCAAACTATGAATCACAGAAGTAACGATATAATCATTTTTTTTCGCGAAAAGAAACGATATACAATTTCTCATAAGAAATTTGTTTTTAACTATATCATAGCCCCATTCTGTCCTATTGAGTTTTTGTAGGAGGGAGGGGGTGGGCGCAAAGTTAATACTTTTTATTAATTTGACTGTGTTTTATGTTAAATCCTAAAGGAATTCTGGTAAATTCTAAAGGAATTCTGATTCGTCCATTTTCTAACAGACGACTGGTTGAATCTATCAGATTTTTTTGTGTAGAGCTGGGACCGTAGTACGTATGACGTCATTCAAACGATGAATGAATCGCTTAAACGCATCAATCGGAGCCGATGGACCGCGTCCTCGGTCGGTAATTCGTACGCGCATTTACAAATATGCGCATTTACAAAAATACATATATTGTTTGTAACAAATACATTTTATTGTAGCTGACTATCTTCCCAGGTAAGTCAACTGACATCGCTTGTCGTTAGAAATGTCATTTTGACGTCCAAATGACGACAAGTCAGCATATTTTACGAATTATTTTCCTCCGCGGATGTACAAAGGGCTTTGGGAAGCGAAGTAAACGCGGAACGTGTTGTACCTTTTGTTATATTGCAAATTAATATTAAAATACGTCCTCCATTGCAGTGACGGGCAAACAACGTGACGCACATGTGATGACGAGGTCTACGAATTCTTTCCGGCGTCCCCGAACTTACGCGCGGCGTAGTTGTATAAAGAGAGCCTTCCAGGAATTCTTAATCATTCGCGCATTGCGTTTCCTCAAAGTGCGCAAAAATCTGATGGGCGTACATCTAGATTAAACGAGCCAGATAAATTTTGGAAATGTCACGCGGCTCGGCTCTATTGAGCGATACAGCGTGATAAGATAAGTGGTACCTTTCAAGCCTTTCATTTTTCTGAACTGTAATCTGCGATACACGTGGGCGGTTGTGCACACATGTACGCAAAAATGCTTTAAAATCGTTCGTTTTAGTAGAAAAGAAGAGAGCGGGAGAGAGAGAGAGAGAGAGAGAGAGAGAGAGAGAGAGAGAAAGCGTAAAACGGTCGGATACTTAGGCAACTCTAAGTATCCCCTAAGTACTTAGGCAACCCTAAGTTAGAAGTGTCGCATCCGGTTAGGGTTTCTTAAGAACGGTAGATCTCAAATTTCGTCTGAATGTCTCAAACTACAAGTTCCTTTCCTGATCTACGACTAGGTAGACAGTCAAGTTTCTATTTTCTCACGGGTGGTTCAAGAGAATGGACCTGCCGCTGTGTTGACCACACAGCGGCCCTAGCTCACTCTGCGTTCGATAAAATGCCTTCCACGTGTTACACGTCGCTCAAAGGCAAGAGTAATTCTGCTCTCTCTCTCTCTCTCTCTCTCTCTCTCTCTCTCTCTCCCCCCCCCCTCTCTCCCTCTACCCCTCTACTATGTTTTATCTTTCATTCTTTTCCTTTTATATGCTTTTACACTTTCTCGCTCATCGTTTTTTTAATTGTTCTAACGCTTAGGGGACTTGTTCCAGAACGTGTAATAAATAATATGATTGTAATTTTCTCTCTCTCTTTCTCTCTTGCGTAGACCGCGTTCCGAACGTACGTTGCGAACGTAGCCGCGGAACGAGTAGTAGCCGCTCATTATCGTGGAATTTAGCCGCGAGCAGCGAAGTCGGCCGATGCGATCGCGGCGAGCCGCGTATATCGCTGGCACCGAGTGAAACCGGGCGGCGTGCGACCTTTCGCTCGGCGGCCCTCCTTTCCCGCCGCCATTGCTCCTCGCGCCAGCGCGTGAAAGCCAGACCCGCGGCCGCCAGTGCCGTAACATTCTCAGCGCGCCGGGCGAGGAGGAGAGAAATCTCTCGCGCTCGCGCGCGCTTAATCCCCCGCGTTGCGGATCAAAGAGACTGTTTCGCTTATTCATCTACGGCGTTCATCCATCTCCGTTGCATTCCAGGAATGCGACGTTTCAGGGACCGCGATCTTTTCTCACATCTATTCCCAGCGATTAGTGGACCCGGATTCCCAGCGCCAGAAATGACGCGTCGATTGACGGAGTCACGTTTCGCTGGAGATTGCGCACCGTATTAGACCTATGGCACGTTTCTACCAATGCAGATAAACTTTAATCTTGGTTTAAAGTACCTTCCCTAGGGACAGTTTGACAAACGTCGGCTAATTGTTAACCAGAGTTCAGTCAACTCCTTATCTTTTCCCATTTTATTATTTCGGAAGAGACAGAGAATCACTTATCCTTCGCTTAGTAGTTAACCGACGTTTATAAAGCTCGCCCCTAGTAGGACAGTGCATTGGCTAAACATTGGTCCAATGTTGCTTGTATTAGAAATGCGTTGGCCGATATTGTCCAACGTAGAGTCAGTATTGGCCATGGAACCCTTACGAAAAAGTAACGAAATAATGACTAGAAAATTACTGTACGCCAGTTATTGGACTATCAGAAATCGCTGAGGTACAGTAATTTTCTAACAATTATTTCATTACTTTTCCGTAAGGGAATACAAACGTAAATGTGTTGCACAATAATAATTATACAATACTAGATTTATATTGGAAGTGCATTGGCCGATAATTAACAATGTAACAAAGCACTGGTCTAATATTGATGGAATATAGTTACGACACTTTTTTCTCGTGAGTTTAGGGACTCGAGAAAGACCGGAAACGCTCAACATGGTTTCTGAACGGCCGTCAAGTAATATTCTTTTTTTCGGAAAAGAAGACTTTGAAACGTAAAACCTCGGTCTAAATGCACGAGTTCCTAAAATCATTAAAAAAAAAAACAGCGTCGCAAATGGACATTCTGTCCATCACTGCATGTGTTGGATACATGCATATCCTATATATTTCTTTTTGTACCGCGTCATGTTAGTTACTTATGAAGCACTTTTCAAGTGTAGGATAGTGACTTTTTATCGCGCATTTCGATACCGCTATCGACCGTGGATGGAATGCGCGCGAGTTTACGCTTATTACGTTTCTACCAATCGTTTCTATCGTTTTTACCAATGTAGATTACCTTTAATCTCGGTTTAACTGCATATCCCTTTCTAGTTTTAAAAATTAGACAAACTTGAGTGTTCTTTGTTTTCCGTAAGGGATGCCCTCCCACGTGAATTTATGCACACATCGCCACATTTTGCGTATGCATGCATGAAAAATGTGCACGCGTCCTACCTAAACTTATATGGGAAGGCACAAATTTCAAAGAACTTAAAGGACTCTGAGCCGTGACTAGGCGACGAGTCGAATTGGTTGAGACGCCCGTCTAGCGAGAGGGAGGTCCAGGTTCAAACCCTGGCCGAGGTGATATTTTTTCGCAATAAACTTAGAATAAAATATTTAGACACTACCACCCAGTCACGGTTCAGAGTCCTTTAAATTCTTTGAAATTTGTGATTAACAGATACGAGCCATACTAATTTATTATATGGGAAGGCACCGGCGACTCCCAGTGCACATTTACGAGAACAACGGGCGGGCAAGAGGGTGGACTATTTAGAAGGCCAGAAATTTCAGAAAATTCTTTCCACGAAAACGGACGCTCCCTCGCGGCAGCGAGCGGTCGGCAGGAGCCCGGAGAGCGGCAGGAATGTGGTCGTGGAGAATGCAAGAACGCCGGGGTTCCGGCGACGACGCGGTGCGCCCCACAGCTCTTCTTATAGCGCGCGGACTGGTTCCATGCGTTTCTAGAGACAGCGAGGAGCGGGGGGGCACCCCACGCTCGCTCGCCGTGCCTGGCGTCGCGCTCACATCGGCGATTATGGTGGGGGGAACGAATCGCGGGGTCGCTCGCTGGAACGCCGGCCATTGCTTGTCGGCTTCCTATAGTATGGTCCGCGCCGAGTGTTGCCTTATCGGTTGTGGGGCGCTATAGTACGAGTTGTTGCTTTGTGCCGCGGCACTCACGGGATACTCGGGGTCTGTGTCGCGAGCTACGCGCCAGTTGCGTGACGTACGAGCGTATACGTGCGGTGCCGTTCGCGTCCGTAGCCGTGTTTGCCATCCGTGTCGCGGTCCCACCGCGGGCGACGTATGCCGCTCGGTGTTATCGGCGACGCAACGTACGCGACCTGCCCGCAAAACGGAGCGGCGTAATCGAGGGACGAGAGCGAGGCGGCCGACCGTGGGAACAAAGCCGCGGCGGAAGGGCGAAGCGATCGAACGTCGGCGGCTCACACGGCGATCCGGTCGTCCGAGTCGACTCGGGTACGTTTACTTCACCGCCCATCCCGCGCGTGTCGCAACACGTCCTTGATAAGCGCTAAAGAGTACGCGATTTTTGCCATCTTCCCCCCTTGCTCTGCCGCGTATCTCTTCTACCATCTGTCGGAGAACCCGTGTCCGCGTCTGGCGCTTTCGCGCGAGAAGTGGGACACGGGGGGGGGGGGGGAGGGGAGGAGGAAAAGAGAGCTGAAACATATTAAAATAGCCGCCAGATCCGATAAGGGCGTCCGTTGATCGCGGATAGCTGATACACGTCTTGTTTGTTTACTATATATATCTTCCCTCTTGTCCGCTGCCTCCCTCCACCCCGCCGCACCCGCTGCCTCCTTAGCGGCGCCTTTTGACGTAGCGCACCGCGGCGTCGTTGTGTGTTAAGTAGGTGCGTTCGCGAAGCGTCTCCTACCGCCTACCCAGTCGGAAGTGACTCGTCGGAGGCGACGTGTCGCAACCCCCGTGGTATCGACGTCGACTCGACGAGCCGTTTCTCGCTGGGTGTCTTTCGGCCAGCGCTTAACTGCTTCAAGGCTTAACGGCTTCAAAGAACCGATGCTTTCAAGTGCCAATAGCGGTTCCGCGAACGCACCTATTATCTAACGTTGCTAGGCGGGGTCTGCGTTTGCGGGGGAAGCCCGATGTAACTAGCGGAGGGGGGGGGCGGGGGGAGGGGAGTGTAATTTGCGAATAAAAAGGAAAGTAAAAATGACGCTCGGTGCTCGTTGGAGAAAGTCGCGGGGAAACTTGAAGAGACATTTTGCTAGTCGTACACACTTCGGCACCCTTTCACCTCGGATTACAAAGGAATCGTTGTAAGATCGCTCGGAATTCTCGATCGAGGTTCACAAAGGAAACAGAGAAACGAACAGGGGACGCTCGTTGTCAGCCGAACAGTCGGGCACTCGACAAGCCGGCCCTCGAAATTATTTCAATCAAAATTGCCGACCCTCGACGATTCCTTCGTGGTCGCGACACGAAAATCGAAATTACCGGGGGAATCGCGAGGCGTTAGGAACCGCCGAAAATTACCCGGGCGCGAGATCCAAGGGAGAGGGAGAAAGCTCGGGGTCGCGCACGGGGTCTGTTCTTTGCAGCTGCTCCACGCTATACTCTCTGTCCTGATGTTCAGGCAGATACGCGGAGTGCCACAGGAACCGGCGGCAGAAGCAGGGAAGGGGGGTGTTTTTTTTTAATTTATCCTTTTGTGAGGACGCCTTTCAACCGTTAGGTTATATCAGCATGATAGTTCTAAAAATTCCCTGAAATTCAAGCACTTGACAACAATTAATATTTAACTCGGTCCTTTTCAAATATAAATCAAATTGAAACTTAAATGTAAATTTTTCTTAACGGAAAAACATGCGGGACGAGAAGGTCGGGATCGAACCGAGGACCCTACCATTACTAATCTTTTTTTAAACTAATTAATATATTTTAACAAATAATAAGGATAACGTCGACAATTAACTGGCACAATATATTTCGTTTAGAACATACAACGTTTCGACCAGTAATACTGGTCCTTATCAAGTATTAAAAAATTCTTAACAACCCATTAGATGTGACAGCAAAAAATCTAAAACATGATTAATGTGGAATAAGTCAAATGTTACAAATCTAACGCATCTTAAAACCACATCTTAAAAACTTACGGGTAACATTGGTAATAATATAAGTATACATGGAGGAACGAATCACTCTGCACAGTAACACATATGGAGTAGATATAAAATATTTTAAAAAGACGTCAATTGTTGTGAAAGGTCGGTAGAAGACTGATAGCATTAAAATATCGAGAGATCAACGTCAGATAGGTCAGAAACACGAGATGCGCAAGACAAATAAGTAAATAGTTATATATACATGTAAATAAAAAAAATATATTTTAACTTCATTTACGTATATGACCCTAGGCCAATATAAACATTACTGAAATTAATAACATTGTGGCTTCTGCTATACATTAGCCTTTCTTACAATATACTTAATTGTAAGTTTGTACTTTTATTTACATGTTTGGCAGTGGAGTGGTGTTATTGTAGACGCAGTGTTTCGACGTAACTATTTTGCCTCCTTCTGTTAACTCTAATAACGTAGGAAAATTAATTTACCAATCACTCGCAGCTACACGTTATGCCGCGTAGTAGGGTTGATTCTACGTGAGACAATCAGTCGACAATGTAGAGTCGAACTTTTCTATACTTCAGTTATCCGCCGCTTTGTGTGCCAGATTAGATCGGCAGGCTCTGTCGATAAAAGACATTTAAATGGACGCGATGATACCGAACTTGTTGCGATCTGCTGATGTGCGGATCTCTTTTGAAAATTTGTTCTTGGGTTAGTATTACATTTGTCACAAATCTTTTAAGCGGATTAGAGAAGTCCTTGAGTCTCTAGGGACGGTATTTATAGTTGGATCTTCTATTCAGGACCGTCTTGAATTTATCTAAAGATAATTTTCAGGTAATTTGGGCATTCGGCCTTGCTGGGGCATTATAAAGATAAAATAAGATAAGATTAAATAAAGTAATGCCCATCACTGGGCATTAGTGGGCATTGGTGTACAAGATTTTGGTCAGCGAATACCAGCCTTGTACCACGATCAGCTCACTGAAGCTTCGTGTACGAAGTTCTATTCTGTATTTTCGCCTTATCTTTTCTCTTTACGTAGAAACCCCCTTCCCGGAATGACGTGTAGCTCTGTGCTGACACAAGTGATTAGTAACGGTAGGGTCGTCGGTTCGATCCCATTGAGGGAACTCAAAAATTCCTCGTCCCGTTTGTACTATCGGTTCTATTGTAGAATACTCCTATATAATAGGAGAGAAGTAAAAACGAAACATTCACACAGAACACTCACAACATTGGCATAAAACAGATTTATAACATACACTTCATTTATGTCAATGAATAGTCGAAGAATTAACAGCTAATAATTAATTGGTATGTTAATTGTCATAAACATTCTAGAAAAATATAAGAATTACAAGTTGGACTACCTACATCTTGCCTTGTGACCCACATCTCATATGTTGTTCAGTATTAGTTAGGGGTCTTACTTTAAGTTTATTATATTCTACAAAAGAATGATTGAAAATGGACATCAAATGAGAGTTATAGTACCGCAAGTTTCTAAATTTTAATTTGAGATGCAAAACGTTGAGTGCATATACATATGCGAACATTTGCAGGCAACTGCGACACGTAACGCGCGTCTCTCATCTTTGTCTCTCCGTCCCCTCTCTTCTCCCGCCTGACTGTTAAAAGCTTTAAAGGTTTTTGCCCGAGTCTGTCTTTTCAGCGACTCGCCAACTTTCTTTGCCCAGAATGTTGATGCTTCTTTTGTGCTTCGCAGCGTCGGGTCTGGTAGCGGCTTTACTATATTTGATATTTGAGAATAGCCTCTTCGGACAAATGTTACCTGGATTTGTGACTCGAGTTACAGTTCGAGTTCATTCGATTTTTCAAAGATAAGATAAATGATCGTGCTTGACTTGCTCGGCTTTCGATAATTCATTAATCATTGTAAGAAATCTTTAATCAACGATAGCGAGGTTTCGTAACGTGCAGCTCATTCACTTCCACGTCCTCGAGGTGGGAGGCGTAGATTTCATTTACGTCTATCAGTTAATCACAGTTGACTGAATTGAGAACTGCGGTTATTTTTTTAAATCCACTTCGCGATAAAGATGAAAAATGAACACGTGTCGACGCGCCTTGTTTCCCGTATCTCTAGTCCGTCGAGATACTTTTGTATTACATTCGATATCGACGTGCGGCAAGAAACGCGCGGTATGGATTACGCACCAACGGCGACAGCTCGAGCGACGTTGGCAGAATCGGTTGTCGGTCGGCCTTTCGATTGTACTCGCTTCCGTCGCGCCATGTTGCCAGCTCTCCTCGCGAATAATAAATAAAGAAGACGCCGGGAGTCCGAAGGAAACGGGGCTCCAGTGCGCTGATGTCATTTTGTTGTTCCCCGGCGATAATGCAGCTCCCATTCGTGCACGTGCGTGCACTTCGGCCATCTCAATGCGTCATTTTGCGATACAGGAGGTGTCGTTGCAAAACCCTCGTACGCGGGCTTTTGTGCGCTTGTCCTCTGATCAATTCGCGGATCGATTCGAGATGACTTTAATCCTTTGGCTCTGCGACGCGCTAACTTCGGTTGCTATGCGACACGTGGCGATGTGCCCGATGCAGTTTAGTAGAACTACAAAGTGAGACATTGCGCATGTAAGCAAGTTTTGGGGCAAATTGTTTATTGGTCCTCGCTGCATTCAACCGCAATGATTTGCAGTTTGAAGGTTGGGGCAAATTTCTGATTGGTCACGAGTTAAGCCCGTCGTATCAGACTACGGATTGAGATTAGATTGAAATTTGACCAATCAGAGTAAAAGTCACTAAAATTGGGATTAGTAAGCTTTGCTTCAATTGGTCATACGGGCTTAAGAGTCATGCGCAATTAGAAAGGAATAAAGAACGAGGAATTATACGTAAGGAATAAGGGAACAGGGAATTAACTTTGGACCTATGAAAATTGGACATTCTTCTTTGATGAACGCACGTGTGGCTTTCCGTAGGCCGAAATTTAATTCCCTATTCCTAATTTCTTATGTTTAATTTCGTGTTCCCGTCATTGTACACGAGTTCACAATGTATGCTGTACCGAGCGAAACTTATTGTGGGCGTACGCATGCCATATATGTATACTAATGGAGGTACATAAGTATACGCCTTTCGCAATCAAAGGGTCAAGTCGCGATTAGCGAGAACGGCGATACCGGGGAGAACGAGAGGAGGCTCGAATTCAATAGTGGTCAAGAAAATTTTTCACTTTTCACGAGTCCACGCTAAAGATTCACGATCGAGCCGCTGTTCACGTTGCGTGTCCCAATATGCTCCTGCTTGCCTCAACGACCAACACCAGTCGTTTAAGTCGCAAATGTCAAAGGTATTGGCCGTTGGGGCCAACAGGAGCATGTTGG